GCTCCTGCTCCCTCCTGCAGCATCCCTTTCCCCTCGGGAGACTGCAAGGCTCCACCTCATCAGCTCCTCATCTCCTCTGAGCCCAGACCATGGCTGGAAATGAAGGAGTTGGGGAATTTTGCATCTTTCCTCGGCTGAAAGGAAAGGCCAGGCAGCAGCTCCTCCGTTTCTTTTTGGATTTTGGGGAGGTTGGGGCACTGAGGTGGAGCCTCTGCTCCCCTTTGCACAAAGCAGAAGGGAAAAAGATTTACACAAAGGGAAGGGAAAAAATATTTTTTTTTATAATATATATATATAAATATGAAAAAATAAATGCTCACCGACCTCTTCTGAGCCCGGGGAAGCAGCAAGAGCGAGGAGGGGTCTCAGAGGCAGCGAAACACCTGGGGGGGTTTGGAGCCAAGGCCCATTTGGAGGAAGGAAGCACATTTGGGAAGGCTGGGGGGGTCTCCCCCTCCACCCCAGGGACAGGATTGCACCTCACTGGATCACAGCATCATCCCATCCTGGGATCCCAGTGCCAGTGTGGCCGAGCCCCCGAGCACCCCATGAAGCCAAATGGGGCTGGAGTTGCTGCTGGAGGGGTGGGGGGGGAGTAAAAATCCCCCCAAATCTCTTTGTCTCCCTTCCACCCACCAGCGCTGCCTTTACACAGCAATTACCGAGGCCTCGGGGGCTTTCACACCCAGTCACCTGGGCCTCCTTGTTCTAAACAACTTAATTTGTTTAATGACTCGAGAGGCCCCGGGGGCCCCCTTGTTGTCTGGATTTGTTTCCCTGGTCTCCCAAAGGTTTTTCTCCCAAAGGCAGCCACCTCCCAGCTGGAACCTGCACCAAGACAAGTTTTAAGACATCTCCCCCAAAGCTCAAGGATCTCTGACCTCCCAGGGACACCTCCAGAGACTCCAGATTCAGGGAAAAGGACCTTCAAACCCCTCGGGAGGGTTTGTCCATCCACGGGCAGAGCCGAGCCGGGCGGTGGGAATGGAGAAAGAGCAGCTCCGGGACAAACTAAGACCTAGAAAAGAAAGGAGAAAATCAAACAGGCAGTGAGATGCTGCTTCGTGCTCTTAAGTAACACCTGCCCCTGCTGCCGGCCCAGATGGACGCACCAAACTGGGAGAAACTGGGATGCTCCAGCCCCCCAGCTGTTGTTCAACCCTGGGAATGAAAGGGAAATTAAAAGGGTTGGGGATGCTGGAGCCTTTTGCTGGTCCCGCTCAGGGCTGGGGCTGGCAAAGATGTGGGGGTCCCAGCAGAGATGGGGGTCCCAGCAGAAGGGGGGTCCCTGGGGCAGCCCGGGGCGGTGGGGAGTCCCGCACCCCGGCCGTTACCAGCACCTCCCTCCATTGTTTCCCAACCGGCATTTTTCCGTATGACCTAATCTTCCCTTGGCTCTCGCTGGTAATTTTATGGCAGGGAAATTATTTTGCAGTAAAAGGAGGAGAGCAGATCCAGGCCATTCTCTCCTCTCCTATTTCCATGTGGGGTTTGGGGTGGAGGGGTTTGTTTTCTGCTTCAGGCAGAGCAGGAGGATGGTAGGAGAAGGGATGGGGAGAGAGCGTTGGGTCTGCCAGGCTTTCGTTGTTCCTGTAAGAACAGTGAGAGAGAGAGAGATTTAAGCAATTCCCCCACGCAAACCAGGTCTGGACACAAAAAGCTTTTTAGTTATCACCAGCATTTTGTAAGATTATATTAAAATAAACCTCCAGGCTCAGTTTCCTGCTCTCAAGAGCCCCCTCGTAGGATTACAAGGTACAGAAACATATTCCAGAAATCTCAACCGAGGACTCGCGAAGAATATTTTCTCCCTGTTCTTCCACAAACGACTGCCCTCTGCACTGTAAAAGCCCTAAAACAAGAGAAGAGGTAGTAAGATCAGAGCTATGCACTCTGCAGATCCCACAACGTGTGATCTTCCCTCTTTTCCCATTGGGAATAACACTCCAGATTGAAGAATTCACAGCGGAGCCGCTGCTGGACTGATGGCATTTCACCTGTGTGTCAACTTTTCCCACCTCAACACAACACAGAAGGAATGATGTGAAGAACATCCCTCTGAGATGGCAGGAGGGGCCCTTTCTGCAGCCACCAACCCCTTCGATGAGCTGAAATGAAGGGTTTTTTTTAAGTAAAGTGACCAGGAGAAAGGCAACCAGGGGATCATCCATGGAGTCCCAGAAACCTGGCATAGACAAGAGCACGGGGCTTTGCAAGGGCTGGTTGGCCACGCAAGACTAACTACATGTACTTAGAGTGTGCCAATATACACCTAAAAAGAGAAATTGGCACCAAATCTCCCCTGGAAACTCAACAACCCCGTATCTGCCTTGGGAAAAGAGCACCCTGAGCCATCATTTCTTCTCTTCCCTCCGGTCCCCCAGAACCAGGTTTGTCCCTGAGGCTGGGGATGTCCACGTTGGGGACAAAGCAAGGCCACGGGGCTCGGGCAGGGCCGGTGGGGTGGGTTTGGGGGCTCCTGGGGGG